TTTTTTTTGTAGCAGGTATTTTACAATATCTAAACATAAGTAAACCTTGCGCACAATGCAAAATAATAATAAGGGAAAAAAGATATGCAATTGCAGACAACAACAACACAGTAATTTTAATTGTTTCATATTACTGAATAATACATTCTTTGTTTGTAGTGTTATTGCAAATATTGTGCACTTAATACCAAAAGGATCAACAAAACTCATATTAAAGAAGAAAATTTAAGTACAGTTACCAAGAAAAGTGTTGATAAAATTAAAAAAACATTATGAAGTATCGGTCCAATAAGTTAATAATAAATTAAAAATAATTTTATTGTTGATCTGTGAGTGTGGGTGCGGGTCAGGGTGTAGAGGTGGGTGTGTGGGTTCGTTATAATATATCAGACACTTACCCCACACCCGCACCTTCATTGTTATCTCCATCTTTACTCATCTACATTATCTAGATCCTCATCATTGACTATCATCAGGTAAGATTAGGTTTTCTTTTTTGCGCTGTATACACATATACAAATCTGAGTTGACAGATTACGGTGTTACACGACGAAAAACGGCATCCGTTGATGCCTGTTTCCGGGATGAATTTAGGCATTTTTTAGCCGTTTCACGCCTTAAACGACGTCTGAAGCGGCGTTCGGGATCATCAACCTGAGTGATAAATTAGTTTTCTTTTTTGATCAATTTTCTTTCGAACCACAAATAAAATAATTCAATTTTAAACAGAAATCATTATTAAATAAATTCATTGCCTTATGTCTTTTTCATATATATATAACATAGACAAATGAATAAATAACAAAAGAAATAATAAACCATACTTTTCTTCTCTCGATGACAGACTATATGAATAAGAGAAAAAGATAAGTTCACTTTTCTTTGTTTCTATCTGTTATTTACAGAATTTAATAAATCTTTTGTTTTTTAATTATTGATTTTTTTAAAGAAAACTAACTAATCAATTATTATTATTACACACGTAATGGCTTCAAATTTAAGCATTGGAACATCGAACAAATGCCTCAATTGTCAACAAAAGGATGTAGATAACAGCTCGCCTTTATTCTGCTCACAATGTATTAAAGATATCGATAATAATGTGTCAGAGTTTAATAAAAACAATAATTGTAATAAAAAAAAACTAAAATCATAATTTAATTTAACTAATAGACTATTTTTGCAGCGGATGCACTAGTATATCTCGATAATGGTACAGCTTGTAAAGGATGTGCAACAATGATACGTGCACATAGATATGCAATAATGGATAGTAAAACTCAAGTAATAAATATTGTTTTATATTACTAAATAGTATGTTTTTTGTTTATAGTTTTTGTGCAAATACCCAGCTCGAGGATTCCTCAAGCAGTATTCGCGCGAATTTCTGGTGAAAACCCTGAGAAAACTCAGCATTTAGGGCAGGAACTCGACTCTGGAATCAGTTGCGGGCGGAACAGACCCGGTAATCCGATCTGTTCAATGGGAACACTGCTTCCCTGAAATCTCGGAAATACCACGGAACCAGCCGTTTCCGTGCCTGATTGTTCGATCTGGATTGAAGTAGTTTTTATTGATTCATATTATTGAATCGTATGTTCTTTGTTTGTAGTGTTATTGCAAATATTGTGCAATTAACACCAAGCAGATCGACGAAATTTATATTAAAGAAGAAAATTTAAATAGTTAAAAAAATAATTCTTAATATTGGTCACGTTACGTACTGATTAAATAAAAACTATTCTTGTTGTTAATGAGCTCTGCTTTTTAGATTCATCTGATGTAATATTTGTCACAAATTCAATAGTTACATTAATTGACTTTTTAAAATGTTATTTTAATTTAATTAGTCGCATGTGTACATTTTTCATCTTCAAATATAGTTAATTTTAAACATTATTCAGCTAATATTTGAGTACCATTCTGTGTTATTTTCATACACCATAATATATCCTAGCATTCCAAATAAGAACAACTCGATCTAAAGAAAAACACTTTTAGTTTAATATTTCATTTATTTCTCTATACAGTTTATCGTATTAATTTGATTTCTTGATCATCATTATGATGACATAATGATATATTTATATATTTTAAATGTAGACAATGTTCACTTAAATGAAATAATGTACTTAAAAAAGAAAAATATTTATTTTATTTGATAGAAATTCAAAGAGTCATGAAAGTTTTAATGATTTGATTCATTTTTATTTTCACTTTTCCCTACATATTCCTTTCTTGCGTTTCATTGTTCGATATAACCTGTTGCTTTCTTTCTCTGCCCTATCCACTGTTAGTCAGATTTGTAAGGTATATTGTTTATGTATAGCTGACTAGAATTTTCGATACATTTAACAAATATATTCATACACTCTGTACACGCTTCTACATATTTTTATTTAAAATAAATGGCATCCAATATGTCTGCAGATTTATGTCTTGAGTGCCACAAAAACACCGGGGCTCAAGACTCGCCTCTATTTTGTTCTAAATGTAAAGAAAAAATTTGTAAGGAAGTACCAATTAACACCAACAACAATCATAGTAATAAATTGAATTAAATTCAAATAATATAATATAAAATAATAAAATATTTTCTAGCTGGAATTTTGTATCTTTTAAAACAAAATCAAAATTGTAGTCATTGTCGACGTGTAATTAGAAGTGAACGATTTTCGATTATGAATAATAAAGACGAAGTAATTTTTGTTATTTTATAATATCATAATATTATGTTTGCTTCCTTGTAGTTGTATTGTAAGGAATGCGCGATCAATATCAAACAAATAAATGTAATATATATAAAAGAAGAAAACGTAGGTGGAGCATCAAAAACTAGCATAAAAAAATTAAAAAAACATTATCAAGTATCAGTTCAATAAGGTAATAATAAAATAAAAACTATTCTTATCCTTGATCAGTTCTATTTTTGAATTTGTTTTAAATTAAACATTATCAACAATTAAAAGAAAATAGAATGAATATTTTTATTTGTTTATTTAGTTTTTATGTTAAATCTATTTTTTTTATTACTAATAAATTTTCTTCTTTTTTTAAACGTCATATCTACTAATAGAATCAACTAACACAGTAGCACAATGATAATTAATATCAACTAAGATCTTTGTTACTCAAATACACGTACATGTCAATTGAAAGAGCATCTTAAAACTATTAATGAAATAACTCATTTTTGATCATTCATTCAGTTTCAAAATTTTCTATTTGTTATTTTATTACTATTTGGAAAAAAAGAATTTTGTTTTTATCATAATTAGTAATGATATCAAAATGATTCATATCGTTATCTCTCTTATAAGTTTATTTGTTAGTTTCTTTTTTTTTCTATAACAGAGAGAAAAAAAATAAAGATTGACAAATATATTGTGTGAACGCGCACAATGAACAAAAAAAAAGAAAAGGTCGTCGATGTAAAGATATGTTAAAGACACCACAAGAACATACAAATACATCTTATAAAACAAAGAAAAAAAATAATCTATCTCAATATCATCGATATAATTTAGCAAATGTTTCGAATTCATAATCTATTGTTGATGATTGAATATCATTTCTAATAGAAAAATTATGAATAATTAAAAAATTTATTAAACTAAAACTTACTCGCATAGAGCATTATAAAACTGTTCATGCTGTTTTATTGTAACTATTTCAACTAAACCATTTTTACTTGTTCGTGGTATTTCTGTTAATGATTTTCGTAACCACTGTGAAAATTTGTCTGGCATATAAGTTTTAAGATCACAAACAAATTCTGATACTGATACACGAATTGATGATGGTACACGATCAATAACTATAGCACGAATTAATCCTGTTAAAACACTTTCAAAATATGTTTCACATAATGACATTGATAATGAACGAATTTCAGATAATTCGGATTTATACTAAAAATAATACAAAGAAAAAAACAAAAAGTTTTTTATTTTTCCAATTTCATTTCGTTTTTAATTTACTTTTGAATCTTTTTTATGATTTGATGTAAGTTTAGCCAATGCTTGTAAAAATGCTATCATACTTGCACTTGCATCTCGATGTTCTAAGTTACAATTAGGAATTATTTGTTCAATTATTGGTCGTATTATATTTGATTTAAGAAATTCAAGTGGGCATCGTTGAAGTAATCTTCAAAAAAAAAATAAAAAATACAAATGTTGATAAAATATGATTTCTTACCTTGATGATAAACGATAAAAATCATCAACAAGATCTGGATTTTGTTTAAAACCATCTTGATGAGTAAGAATTGAAAATGTTTTATTTGTTAAATGTTCACTCATAACAATAATTGCTGCTTTTAAATCTTGATCATTTCCATATTCATCAATAATAATTGAAATTAAATAAAGAAAACATGAATGTGAAACTTCATCATAACTTGATATTACCTAATTTATCAGAAAAAAGAAATTTTAAAAAATAATTCTTTTTCAAACGTACAAGAGTAACGATTTGTTGAAAGAATAATTTTGCATGAGAACGCATTGATCGTATTATAAAACGAATTGTACGTGACCAACATTCACTTAGTTTTGTCGATGAACGATATCGAACAATAATTAAATCAAGTAAAGGTAGTAACTAAAATTGAATAGAATTTTTACGAATATTTAATAAAATATATATATCTCTACTTGTTGAACAATCGTTGTACATGGATGTGTTTCTTCATGCGTTATTTTGAAATCAAGACTTCTGAATATTGCTGTGAGACAATCAAGTCGTTTTATTATTGATGTATAGTTTGAATCAGATTGAGTAGAAACAATCTAATATTAAATAAAATAAATGAAGAATGATTTATTTTATGAAATCTATCGGAGACCTGAGTTAATGATTGAATTTGTTGATCAAATAGTAATTTTAAATAACGATGGATATCATCTGTAGATACAATACGAGATATTAATTTTGATGAAGCTAAAAAGATAACAAATAATTTCGTATTTATTCGTCTTTCTACTATAAATTAATGAATAACCTTTGAGAAGACATTGTGATGCTTCACTACCAGCTTCAATTTGATCTAACCAAAGTGTTGCTTGTATAATTTGATCAAGATCATTAACAAGTTGTTTTCTACATTGTTGACAAATATTTAAAATAGCATCGGCTGATACAAAACGTAATTCTTTATCAACAAGTAATGAAAGAAGATATTGAAGAACTGATTCTAAATAAAAATTATTATTATTATTTTATTCTGAAAAAAAAAATAATAAGTTTACTTAAAATATGTTGATTATTTTCTGCAATCCATTGATCAAGTTGTGAAATTAATCGAACACCTGTATATTTTAATGCTGAATGAACAAGACCTGGTTGTGTTGGTGTTGATATTATTGCTTGAATAACATTGGGAACAATTTTATCTTCATCAGGTGATAAATACGAAGCAACACAACTCATTATATACAATGGAGCTTCACTTTCTTCCCATGATAAAGATGTTGATAATTGTAATTTCTCAAACATCTAATATAAAAATTTCAATTTATTTGTTCGACAAAAAGAAAACAACTACTTACACGTTGAAAACAATTTGATGCACCTGTTATAGAAATTGTATCTTTAATTAAACATTCAACACGATAACGAAAATCAGCTAAATCACTATTGGATGTTCGATTATTTTTTGAATTTTTTTCATCAGTTTCGGGCGGAATACCTAACTAAAAAGAAAAATAATTATTTTTAATTTCTTATTTATTTTGTTCTTCTTCTTTATTTTACATGATCAGAATCAAGTTTACATTGTACACATAACATATCCACTAATTTTTCCATATATGGTTTGATTTTATCAGCCATTTCATCATTATGTGTTTGAATTAAATCTGATAGACTATACCATGTATAAAATGTTGATTGAACAATCTATTAAGAATAATTAAATATTTAATTTTAAAAGAAAAATTTATATTTACTTCATAATCACTATGTTCTAGTGGATATAGTAAGAGATTTAAACAGGAAAGATCACTTAAATCTGATTGTCGACCATCAACAAGACATTCAAGAATCGATTCAATTAAGTTCGTATATATTCTTGTATAATTTTGAGCTCTTTATTAAAAATAATAGAATTTAATAAATTTCGTATTATATCATTAATAAAACTCACTTATCAAGGTTTTCATCTTTTACAGCTTGAAAATAAGGTTGCGACAAATGTTGAGTAATTTGTTGTTTTAAATGAACTGCCAATGACCAATATTTTTGATATTCCTAAAATAAATATTCAAATTAAATCTTAAAGTTTTTTATTTATTTATTCACAAACATTCAAGTAAATATTTCTGACTTTTCCTACATAGGACTCTTTATAGAATAGGGGACTATGAAAATTACAAAATCTGATGAAATAGTACCTGCAGAAAACCTTCGATCGATCATCAATCCATCATATCTCGGTGAGCTAGAAATATTTCTGTGTGAGGAATAGAACAAAATCGACTTGACCCACTCTAATTAATTTGATGAAAGTACGATGTTTAGATTTAGTTGATACGAAAGGAGACAGAGAATCAATTATTAGTTGTGATACTTTTGTACTTTGTTTCATGCCTCATTTGATTTTCCTATTCATTCTTTGTATTCTGAAAAATACTTGAAATACTGAGGACAAAGACTTTTTGCGTCAGACTATAAATCGAATAGCCTACCTCACATAATTCAAGTATATTACATAAACAATCGCATGCACTTTTATGAAGTTCATTTGAACATTGTGGTGATTTCTATTAAAAGAAAATTTTAAATTGAAAAACAAATTTTATAAATAAACAAAGATTTTACTAGAATATCTAAAATACTATGAAGAAATGGTGATGAAAGTAGAAGAGTTTCATCAAATGCTTTAATACTAATCCATGATGCAAAACATTTAAGTATACCAATAAATAATGCTTCATTATGTGATGGATTAACTTTAAGAAGAAATATCTTAAAAAAATAAAATAAAATAAAACAAGAAAAGTTTTTCTACGAACTAAAATTTCATGAATTTGTTTTCCACCATTTGAATATTTTTCTCGACAAAATCGACGACGATTTTCTCCAATTCTTATTGTTGATGTATTGACCTATATTTTTTCATTGAAAAATTATATTTAAATAAATTCTTCTAAAAAAGAAATAATACTTCTTCTGGTAAAGCAGTTAGAAATTCAAGTAATGTTAACATATGTTCACTTGATGTTTTTAATCTATAATACAAAATTCAATTGAAGTTTTTTTTTCTATTTAAATAAATCAAAATTAATATTACTTTTCAACAACATCTTCAACTGGTTTTTCCCAACCAACATATTGAAGAGCTAAATCAGCTGTTGCTACTGCTAACTATAAAATAATATTAATAGATTATGAAATAATTTTTAATAATAAATTCTTACTTGAACACGCACTGTCGAATGACGAGTGAGCTCTGCTCGTGATAAATGATCCAATAAAGAATCACACAATGCCTTAAATATACAATAATTAACTGAGCTTGAAACGTAAAGGAGATACAACTCTGTTATTTCATATTTTCACTACAAAACATTGAAATCTGATTAGTCTTGAGGTAGACGATAGTATCTCACTATAAAAATAAAATATGATACTGTCTGACCTTCAGTAGTGTTTCGATCATCAATCAAAATATTATGTGATATAGCTCGAGTTTGTTTATCTTAGACATTTTTAATATAAAATTTTATTTAGTAACCAAAAAATGATTCCATATTCAGCTAATATGTGCTCCGTCTAGGTATTTTTCTATATATTCTTTATAAATAAAAAACCTTGACATACTTTACAATGTTCTACTGGAAGTTCATCAAAACTATGTTGAATCTAAATAGAAAGAATTTGATTTTTTTTTATTAAAATAAAACAAAATTAATTGAATTATGTAATACTTTATGTCGAAGAATTTGAGCGGAAAGACAAGTGACTTCCGAATTTTGATTCATTCGTATTAATTGATCAGCAAGTGTCCATGCATAAAGCTTAAAACGATGATAATAAATTTAATTCTAATTAATAAATCAAATGATAATTACCGATGATTGTACACTAAGTAACCATTCTGAAGCAATTTTTTTTCTTGTTGCATCTTGATCATGATAAAGTGTTTGAACAGCACAAACAAAATTCTCTGGTGTTACTTCAATTGATGATGTCATTTTTCACCAAGATTTGACTTATTTGTATATGTAAAAAAATAAAATATCTAAAGAAAATTAATTCTATAATATATAACATTCTCTCCAGTCGTTTCTATTTTCAATGGAAAACAAACGAATGATTTTTAGTTTTTTTCATCCATACTATTGGATATTTACTTGACAAATCAATATTATCTTTGTTAGATAAAGAGGGCAGTGTAGTCTAGAAAAAGAATAGTATTTTTTTGATTACAATTAGAGTTATATATTATTATTAAATAAACTTAGAGATTAGATGACTATAGATCATATTCATCATCCATCTTTTATTGGAGATTTTGATTAAATGTTGTCAAAAACAATTTCTTCATTTATTCCGAGTTTAGAATTAATCTGCAAATGTGGCATTATTGTTCTTCCTACTTTCATTTATTATCAGGTTACTCGGTAAAAGACTTTATACAATTGATGAAGTAACTAAGAAGTTATTCGAACGTTTATATTGAGTATTGACTACATGATTAAGGTCAAATGACAAAATCATCGAATTCTAATTACTTTCATTCTCAAAATGAATACTAAATATAAAAATAAAATTAGTTTGTCTGAATTATACAACAGTATATTTTAGTTATTCAAATAACATTAATATTTTTTAGATTTAAGAAGATGAATATATATATAAATATGGATAGAATTACTCAACAATCAAATATTTTTTTGAAGAAAGAAAAATAATAGTTACCATTAATAGCATTATGTTTATATAAAAAATTCTTAATTGACCTATACGAGTTTTGACGAATTCAATAATAGACTTTTTTTACTAACAACATCAAGATAATGTATATTTTTATAGTAGCTATTTTCTTTTTTCTAAATGTTTTCTTTTTGATGAGTCAGTTCCTATGTGAGCACCATTTTATTAATGATATTGTGCCTGGGTAGTTGTAAGCAGAAGGAAAGAAAAAAAAAAGAAAAAAAAAGAAAAAAAAAGGAAAAAAAATTTATGACATTCATTCCAACGTGCATGCTTTCACATTTTATTCATTTGAAAAAGAATGGGGCATAAACCATCTAAAAATCGTCAACATCGCAGTTCAATACCTGCACAATCACGGCCAATGCCAACACCAGGACTAGCAGCAACAAAATCTGATACTTCTATTGCAGTACGAAAATCAGATTTATCAAATTTTGCTGTTATCGCAGTTATTTTCAATCCAGTTAAATATAAATCTCGTTACAATCATTATCAACAATTTGCAAATCATATGGCTCAATCTGGTGTAGAATTATATACTATTGAATGTATATTTGAATCTGCAGAACGTTTTGGTTTACCAAAGCAACAATTTGAAGTAACCCGTTCTACTGACAGACGTCATATACGAGTTTCAGCTCCATCTATCATATGGATGAAAGAAAATTTAATCAATGTAGCTATTAAAAGTTTGCCTCAAAACATTGAATATATTGCTTGGATTGATGCTGATATTGAATTTAAAGTATGTAGAAAAAAATGCATCTGAAATTTCTTTTTTATTTCGTTCTTATTGAGACAATATTGACCTTCTATTTGAATAAACATCAATACAAAAGTCTTTTTATTATTTATTTTTAGAATCTTGATTGGCCATATCGAACGATTGCTGAATTACAACGTTATCCAATTGTACAACTCTTTGAAATAGCATATTTTCTTGGTCCTGGAGGAAAAAGTGATGTCTTACGTAATGATTATTCATTTGGTTATTCAATTAGACATAAGAAACCAATTGATCCAAAACGTTATGATGATTGGTATGCTCATCCAGGTTATGCTTGGGCAATACGTCGTTCGACATTGAATTCAATTGGAGGTTTTCTTGATTTTTGTATTATTGGTTCAGGTGATTTACATTTTGCATTTGCACTTTTAAATCGTATGGAAGAAACACTTCGACCAGATT